CCCCGTCGCCGCCACCTACGGCCCCGTCGCCGTCACCTGCGGCCCCGTCGCCCTCCCCTAGCGGCCACGTCGCTGCCTCTACCGGCCCTGTCAGCGCTCAACCGCCCAGCGACCAAGCCGCCGAGCAGCCCAGCAGCCGAACCACTTTTCCCATTCTCGACTCTCACCTTGGCACAACCTTCTCGACTTCCCTTAGGCCTAGGCTACTAAGCCTAGGCCCTACCTAAAACCTAAGCTTACTCTTACTTAGTAACTCAACATGGTATCGGAGTGAAGGTCTCGGGTTCGAATCCCAGTGTGTGCACTTCGGGCATCCCAGTGCGGGGGGGTGTCAGAGGTCCACTGGTGATCCCCGATCGATCCTAGGGAAGGGTTACATGCTCGTTGTTCTGGGGGGTTATGGGCGCACTGACCCGCTACTTAACAAGCCCTTTTATCCCAATGGTCTAGTGGTTGGGATTCTGACATTCATCGCAGCCAGCGCAGCTGTTCGCGAAGGACTATACCTGATGAAGCTCCTGCAAGAGGCGAAAGTGACGATGAACGGGCACTTCACGTTACTCTGCGACAATCAAAGCGCGATAAAGATCGAGAACAAGCCCGGCTTCGTCAACCGCACCAAGCACATCGCCCTTCGCTACTTCTTCGTGAAGGATGAAATCGACAAGGGGAAAGTCAAGCTGATGTCAGAATAATATATCAACCTATATATTGTTTTGTAACTGCCTGTAGTGTAGACTACTGTAGTTATATAATGTTCTGTTGTGGTGGTACACCTTTCATCTTGCCTATTTGTACTGCTCGCTCTATAGTGAAACCCCTCTTTGTTGAAACTTTCTCGACTCTCCTAACCCTACTCACTCGAACTCAATCTCCAACGCTCCTAAGCTATGGCTCCTAAGCCAACCTCTTCCTAGCATTCTTAACATGATATCAGAGTGAGGTTCCTATCCTAGGACCTGATTTTTTTTCCCCATGGGCCCACCACTTATCGTTCCTACCATGGCGCTCTTCGTGGCCCCAAAAGTGCCCGTTCAGCCGCTAGTCGTGAAGGCTCTAACGTCGAGCGTGGAGGGCTTCTTGCTGTTCGTCGCGGCCCCGGTCGGCGGCCCCGTCGCCTGCTCGTCACACCCTGTCGCGGCCTCGAGCGTCTGCATCGACGGTCGCTTTGGCGGAAGACGGCGGGTGTGGCGGCCGAGCTACTTCAACCGCCGAACGCGCCCCCTGCCCTGCCCTCCCGTCGAACATGCGGCTGCTACCACTGCAGCTGCCACGCAAGCGACGGCGCCCTTGGCGCAGACGTTCGTCGCGGCACCTGTTGCACCCCCCCCGTTACTCCCCCTCCCTACCCGAGATCTCACCAACCCCACCCGAGCCCGCTGCCGTGTCTTCCGCTATGGACGAAGGTGTGGCGGGGGGGGAGGGGGAGGGGGAGGCGCGAGGGTGGTTGACGCCCCTCTGTTCGCTACTGCACGTGCAACAGTGTGGGGGGGAGGCTTTGGGGAGGCGGGTGTGAGCAAGAAGCTGCCGCCCCTCCTCTCTCTCTCACTGCCGCACGTGCCGCTGTGGAGGGGGGAGTGAGGGGGCGACGGAAGTCAGCCGGTCATCTGTTGCTGACGCCAGCTGCTGCCGTGGCACCTCCAGCTGCCGCCCCTGCTACCACCTACCTTTTTTTGTTGTCTCTGTTTTTGCTACCTTGTGCTGGGGCCTGCAGGTGCTGCCGTCGAGCCGCTGCTGTCCTGCTGCATGTTGCAGCCACAGAGCCTGCTCCTCAGGCGACCTGCCGCCCCACCACCTCCTACTGTTTTTACCTTGGTAAAGGGGTTGGTACAGCTGGATCTGCCATCACTGCACCTGTTGTCACTGCACTTGCCTGTTGCTATGATTTCCGCTGCGGCCTGTTTGGTGTACCCCATTATGGGGGCGTTGACTGCATATTCTTCCCTACAGGCACTTATGGGGGCGTGTCAGAATAATATATCAACCTATATATTGTTTTGTAACTGCCTGTAGTGTAGACTACTGTAGTTATATAATGTTCTGTTGTGGTGGTACACCTTTCATCTTGCCTATTTGTACTGCTCGCTCTATAGTGAAACCCCTCTTTGTTGAAACTTTCTCGACTCTCCTAACCCTACTCACTCGAACTCAATCTCCAACGCTCCTAAGCTATGGCTCCTAAGCCAACCTCTTCCTAGCATTCTTAACAGCTGACGTACTGCCCGACCGGTGACATGGCAGCTGATTTCCTGACGAAAAAGGTGCCACGTCAGCAGTACCAACGCTGCACCGACCTCTGCGGGATCACCAGGAAATCCCACGTGGCCCACCTTCAGGAATGAAGGGGAGTGTTGAAACAACCGAAAGGTTACATAAAGCATTCCCAAAGCTGCTCCACTGTATCTGTACCGCAATAGCTCATATAGAGCATGCGGAATGTCGAAGGTCACCCGAAGGTCAACCGTCTGAGGGAGTTAACGGTCGTGACCCTTGACGATCCAGTAACCGCACGACAGTTAATTCACTGCAACATGGTAACTGTAGAGGATAGCAATAGTCGCGGTTACTGTAGCTATGCAATACAGTTAATAAGGGAATGTACCCCTCAGAGTACATGGCTAGCTAGATTTCTATTTAATCTCTTGTACTCCTTTCCTTCAATCATCTTGTTCTCTTTCAATTATTATTCAACAAGGTCACTACCAGGCCCTCAGATTGGTTTGAGGGTATGCTGATGGATCAGCGTGCCGCGGCCAACGAGGTGTCCAAATCAGCATTCACGGTTTTTTTTTATACTGATTTTGCCAGTGTAAAAATCATAAGTAAACTGAACCAACAGTGTAATAAGAAAAACACTATAGCTGAAACCCCAGTACAAGGTGTGTGGTGTTGTTGCTGTGATAGGTTCCAGCGAGGCTAAACACTTCGGCGCGCACCTAATATCTGTGCAGCGCATGCGAAAAAATGCCAAGTGTGTGGGTGGGGGTCTCAGGAATCACGGGAAGGTACAGATTGTACATGCGTACCCTATCACCCCCCCCCCCACACGCGGTCAACTCCGTTTCAGTGTGATTCACGTCACTATACTGATTCGTCTGTGTTTTTGTAAAGAAACACGCAAAATGGTCAGTGTGACAAGGTAGGATATACTGAAATTTCACTGCAAAATTGAAGCATATGCTGAATTTTCAGGGAAAACGAAAATCACAGCTACAAAATCAGCGTAATCAGCGTGTTTTACGCTGATATCTGAGGGCCTGGTCACTACAGAGACTTCTTTGTTTCATCTGAGACTTAACATATCCTATCCTATCTACTGGATCCTTTGGTTATATCAGCAATCACCATTTTATTTATTGTACGGGTAAACCCTGGAAGATGAAATATCAACGTGCTGTTTTTGTTTTGTTTTTGGCTTGCCCGAAGTGTACCGTAATTGTTGGATTATGTCAAGTATGATCTTCTTTCTGAAAGTGGTACGGTAGTTCAACATGGGGAAACCGATACTCACAAAAGTGGAAGTCGGTGATATGAATAACGCGTATTGCAGTTTGGAGCCAGCAAGTGCCGAGCATTTGAGCCCCGCCAACATTCCCCGTTCCCATCATTTCCAGCACCAGCAGCTGCGATCCACCAGACCAGAGCTCACTATGCCATGGCTGCTCACGATTTCGTGTTTAGCTGCATAATTCGGAGAGGTACCACGCGACGGTAATTCACATTGACAGTTTTTAGTCGATGCTAACCTGAACCTTGTATCTGCAGAGGATGTTCCTCTTCTCTCACGCCGGTCACTATCCGCAAATCAGCAATGGGAGAGAATCAACTTGGCCACCACGACCTCGGCCCGCAGAAAGACGAGGGATTCCAAGAAACGTAATTGATATCTTGTGGTTCTTTGCAATTTCTCATATTAATTTACGGAACTCCATAACACCTGGTCTCGGTTCCACAGGTGAATTCAAGTCCTCCAGATTTCTTCTGGACTTGGTTGAGGACCAAGGGGGGTTCGAATTGAACGTACCAGAAAGCATTCCGTTAAATAAGCTTATGGAAAATAACAGGTTTACTTCCTGCAAGAGAAAACGTGACTCGCCAGCAACAGAGAATGCGAATATGGCTCAGCGCGTCGGAGACCGTCGGTCGTTGTGCACATCTGTCTTTTCGCCAATTCAGACTTTTCTCCAGTCGCTCATTGCTCACTGAATTTCGAAGGCCGTGGATGGCACGAGTTGCCAAACTGCGTGTGGATCATTGTTTGTTCGAGGCCCATCGTGGCTGTGCTTCACGGTTAGCAGTTTATCTCTAATTAACTTCCTCACTGACGTGACGTTTGTTGTGAACATACCCACCTTGTACAAATGGACCTACCGTACCATGGCAGATGATTGTGACTAAAGAGACATTGATTGAACATGGTGCGTGGTAGGGGCGTCGTACCCCCCAACAGGCTTGTTTTCCGCTTGGGTGTCAATTCAACGTCTCAATTCATAGCAGAAATAAGTAAATGAAATACCGCTTAGAGAACCCAGTGGACAGCAACACCGCCCAAGTTCTAGGAGGTGGCGATAAACATGATACCCTACTTCCTCTGGGAGGAGCGTGTGTGGTAGTAAGGCGATGCTTCCATTGCAGTAGAATACCATTAGTACCACGGGCTAGCAGCTTCCTCCAAAGAGCTTCCTTTTTCTTTAAAAAGGCTCCACTAAAGCAGGCACCCCAAAGCATTAAATCATTGCAACTGCATGTGCCCGCCAGCAAGCAGCAACTTGTGAGCACGAACAAGCATATGGACTTCCAAATGTCATCATTGAGGAAGTGAAGTTGCTTGACATTTCCCTCCCTCATACTACAGGGTGGGAACATCAGAAACCCTATCCCAGACATCTGGCTACACAACCTTTACACACTGGCCCTGAATGGAAGTGGTTGAAAACAATACGAAAAGGCTTGGAACGTAGGAGCACATCAACTGCAGCTCCATTGCAGAGCGATGCTTACTACCACATGGTGCTTCCTTCCATCAACCTCCCCATGATGGCCCTCTCTTCCAACTCTCCTCCCCCCATCCCCTTCAACCCCCCTGTAAGCGACCTCCTCAGTCTCCTCTCCAATACCCCCACCAGCCTCTTCCTCCCTATCCGATACCGCAACACCACCTCCCTCTCCCTTGCCTCCCTCTCCGCTATGCCCCCTTTCCTGTCCCCTCCGTCCTCCGCACTCTCCTCACTCTCACTTTCCTTGCTTTCCTTACTCCCCTCATTCTCTTGAATCTCAATAATTTCCTCCCTCCGACCGTCCTCCCCTTCTCCGGGACCCTCCCTTCCTCCTCCCTCCACAACCCTCCTCACATTCTTCCTCTTCCCCACCCTCTTTGTCAACCCCCTCCTCTCTCTCGCCAACAAGCCTGCCAGTTCCTCCTCATCCTCCTCCAACCGGCTTCCAAACCCATCAATAACAGCACAACAACGCGCGTGTATGCCATCCAGAGCAGCTTTCAGGCATGCAAGCAGGCGGGGAGAGAGGCGGGGGCGCAGGGGGTGCAATGCCGGGTGGGAGATGCCCCAGCAGTAGAGAACGCTGGCACAGGCTATGGGATGGTGCCGGGGCTCTGTTTGTCGGGAGCGGGGGAGGAGGATTTGGGGTTTGTGGGGACGGAAAGAGGGGGAACAGGGGGCAGAAGGGCATGGGGTGAATGGGAGATGCCTTAGCACAATGGAGGGAACAAGCACAGGGGCACAAGGAATGAGAGGAGTTCTAGCGATTGCCAGAACAGGCCACATATTCACCAAGACCAAACACTCGCACTTGCCTCAACCGCTCACTCGCAATCACCCTGACCGTAGATGACGAGGAGCCAGAGACTGGAAGACACTTGTGCATACATACAGCACTGACGGAACACACTCGCGCATACGATACAACACACGCTAGCACTCACCGCGGCCATAGACAAAGAGGTGCCAGAGAGCAGCAAAGGAGGCCATGATGCGAGGGTCCACATGCCCATGCGGCCACACCGCATACCCCCTCTCCGCCTCAAAGCTGTACTCTGGCCCATACAGACTCGCCCCGTACTGCAGGTACACTGTTGCTGTTGCTGGTGATCTCTCTGCTGCTGGTGAATCCTTTCCCGAGGGGCACTTTGACAAAGATTGTTTTTCTGGTGAGCTCTGCGCTGCGGCATTTGTTTTTCCCAGTTTTTTAGAGAAAGCATGTGCTTCTGCACGTTTCTCAGCGTCACTCTGCTTTCCCCCGTTCTTCTCATCCTCTTTCTCCGCAGTCTTTCCGTTCTCCTGCAATCTCGCCCCCCGCTCATCCAAGGCATGATTGATCTCCATTCCGGCACCCTCTTGACTTCCCTCTCTTGTCTCCCCCCCTCTTCTATCCGTATTTCCTTCGTCTTCCGTCCAGCCATTCACAGCTTCACATGCTTTTCTCAAACCACTTTTGCCATTCCACTTTCTGTTCCCATCTTCTTCCTCCTCCACACTACCCCCCCTTGCTCCGCTCATCTCCTCTCTTGCCCTCCCTCTCCCCCCGTCCTCCTCATCAGCATCTAGTACCACCACAGCTCCCTCCTCTTGCCCATCCTCACACCTTGCACAGCTAGTTTCACATCTAGAACCTCTGTTTTCCACCTTCTCTCCACCACTACTCCCACCACCCTCCATCACTCTCTCCCCATCACAACCGATCTGCACCAACTCCTCCTCTTCTCCATCTACGCCCCCCTCACAAATGGTCACCCTCTCCCTTCTCTCCCCACCGTTTCCCCCATCAGTTCGTCTAGTAGTCTCCTTCTTCCTCTCCCCTTCAATTTCCCCCTCAATCTCCCCATCAATCTTCCCCTCCCGCTCCCCCTCACCCTTCCCCTCACACTCATCCCCCCTCTCCCCCACCCCCTCCCCACCTCCATCCTCCACAGTCCCAATCAGCACCCTCACCACCCTCCCCACACTCTTCACACTCTCCTCCACCTCCCCCATCACCCCCCTCGCCACCTCTCCATCCTCCTCCCCAAAATCCCCGGGGAAATAATGCTCCGCGAAGAACTCAAGCAGGTCGGAAGAGGAGCGGAAGAGGGGGAGGGAGTCGAAGGAGTTGGGGTGGGGGGAGAAGCCGTAGGAGAGGAGGAAGGAGTGGGAGGAGCGCACGCCGTAGTGTGTGAGGAGGTCAGCACCGGGGGCGATGGGAGCAATGGCGTGGAACAGATAGTGGCCTGATGAGGCACGCTGGGATTGGGGGAATGGGGGCGTGGGGAGGAAGAGAGGGGATTGGGAAAGGAGGAAAAGGGGGGGGACACGAAGCTACTTTTCTATGAGACACGAAGAGCTTGGGGAGAGAGGATGGTGGAGGAGGGAAGTTGCAAGGAGAGGGGGATGCGAGGAGAGGTGTGGCGACAAGGGCCGCGGAAGGTAGAGAGTGAGGGGCAGTGGGGATGAGGAGAGTGGAAGAATGGGGAAAGAATGAAGGGACAACGAGAGTGGCAAACGATATGAGGAGCTCTGAACGAGGGATGGCAGTCAAGAATGGGCGGATTGAGAAGAATAGAAAGCATAGGGAGGGATGAGGAGCGTAGGGAGGATAGGGAAGGAGGAGAGGATGGGGAGGATAGGGAAGGAGGAGAGGATGGGGAGGATGGGAAGGAGGGGCGGGGGGCGGATTTGCATTGTGGTGTTGGGGAAAAGCAGCAGCGCTTGGTTGACGGCCCACGCAGCGCAGCAATGACCTGGCCACTGACTAACCTTACACCATTTGTTCTTACATCATGGGCCCAGGAAGGTATGCGGGAGTGGAAACGGTGGGGTTTTGGGTATGGCGAGGGTGATGGTGAGAACAAGAGGGGGGAGAGAGGGAGGGAGGGAGGGAGGGAGGGAATGAGGGAGGGAGGGATGGATGGAAAGGGAGGGCGTTGGCACTGACAGTCCAGGTGACGTTGTAGTGCTCGCTGTGGTTCATCAGATCCGCCAGGGGCAGCAGCGCCCCCCAGCTGTTCTCCTCACACGCCGCTGCTGCTGCTGCTGGCGCTGCTGCTGGCGCTGCTGACGCTGCTGCTGCTGCTGGCGCTGGCGCTGCTGCTGCTGCTGCTGCTGCTGCGGCTGAAGGTGGCAAGGAGGAGGAGGAGGGGTCAGCGGAGGCGGAGGAGGGCAAGGAGGGAGGGGAGGGGGAGGAGAAGGTGCGAGAGGAGATGACGGTCATAGCCCAGAGGAAGGCGGAGAGGGGTGCATGGGCGATGAAGTCAGGGGCGCACCGCCGGTACTCCTGCTCGTACGCGTGCCGGTATGCCACTGCCTGTGGTTGGGAGGTGCGGTGGGGTGCAGCATCAGGGTGGCTGGTTGGGTTGGAGGTTGGCAGTGCAGCATGAGAAATGTGTGAGGGAAGGAGGAGGGGCCGGCCATCGAAATGATGAAGTTGTGGGGGATGATGCGGGCAGGGGACAGTGCGCCTGGTGTGAAGAAGATGAATAAGAAAAGGAGCGAATGATGCATCATCTTTTGAGGCGCCTCGATAATGGTATGCCATCAGCCATCCAGTTTGCATTTGCACTCCAAGTAGCCCTCCAGCTTCCAACCACATGCTCCCACATTTGTCCGTTTCCCTCACGCCGCATTTTTCCATCCACTGCTTTCCTTCCCCTTTCATATCCTCCCCTCCCCCCTGTGCTCTCCCCTCCTCCCTCCCCTCCACCTCTCCCTACCTCGAACCATCCCTTCAGTAGGGCATAGCATAGCTGCTGACCTTTGAGTCGAATTCACTCACTCCCACCATGAATTCCATGAAAAGCCACGTGATAGAAGTTGTGGTTGAGACGTCTCAAGACTCAAAGCACAACCGTCATCACGTGGATATCTGCTGTGAGATTCTGCTGTCATCACGTGGGCGAGCCCAGAAAATAGTGTCCTGACTCCCGGTTGGTTGTTATGAGGGTAGGATTCTCATTGCATGCATGGAATGGAACGGAATGGAATGGAACGGAATCGCGTGTGCAACCAGAAAGCTCTCACCATGGCTTCAGTGGGGCGCCACTGCAGCTGCTGGATGGTGGCGAGGGGGAAGAGGGACGGCAGCGGCACGTGGGGGGGCAGCGTGGCGAGGTACGGCGCCCATGGGGAGGCGTGCCCCTTGGACACCTCTCGTAGCAGCCATGCTGCCATGCCCGTGCTCGCTGCCCACCCATTGGAGGACGCTGGTGCTGCTGGTACGGCTGGTGCTGCTGGTGGTGGTGCTGGTGGTGGTTGTGCTGCTGATGATCCTGATGGTGCGGATGGTATGGCTGATGGTGCTGGTGGTAATGGTGGTGCTGTTGGTGCCGCTGCTGATCCCGGTGCTGCTGCTTCTCCTGTTGCTTCTGTTGTTGCCACGACTGTGCTTCTTGTCAGGCCTCTCTTAGGGGATGGAGATGATAAGCGTGATGGCGATGGTGCTGGTGGTGGTGATGGTGATGGTGATGGTGAGGATACTAATGCTGCTGAACTCGCAGCTACTGATGCTTCAGCTACTACAGTGCTGCTATCACTACCACGTGCTGAGTCTGCAACATTGCACCCCCGGTCTTCCGGCAGTGAACGCACGCTGCTACAGACATCGCTGCTACTGCCGCCACTGCTGTCAGAGTTGCTACCGCCACTACCACCAGAACAGGGAGGATTTGTACAGACGCACACAGCAGCAGCGCCACCATCTCTTGTGCTCTCCACGCCCCTCCCCTGCCCTCTGCTGCATCCACTGCTACTACCACTGCCACTGCCACCACTGCCACCTTCAGTGAATAAAGGGTTCCCAGGCTCTAAGTCTCTGTTGAGGCCTCCAAGTCCCTCCTCGCACCGCTCCTCCTCCTCACCCTCTCCCTTCCCCTCTCCCTTTTCCTCTCCCTTCCCCTCTCCCTTCTCCTCTCCCTTCTCCTCTCCCTTACTCTCACTCCCTGGGTTACTCCCTCCAGGATTAGAGGCAGAAGTGGGCGTAGGAGGAAAGGGCGAGGGGGAGCAAGAGGAGCAGGGGCAGGGGTGGGTGTGAGGGAGCGAGTAGGCGGGGGCGATGCGATCGGGAGTGATCTGCAGATTGGGCGGTATGCAGAAGAGCAGCTCTCCTGGCGCTATGTGGCGCGATGCCACGAGACCCAGGTCAGGCCTGGGGATAGTGGGGTGCAGGAGAGAAGGTGACGAGGGAGGGGGGAGAGGTTAATGGGTGGAATGAAGTGGGAAGGGAGGTGCAGAGTATGCAGAAAAGCAGCTCGCCTGGCGCTATGTGGCAAGATGCCACGAGGCCCAGGTCAGGCGTGGAAGGGTTGGTACGGGTGGGTGGAGATGAGGGGAGAGTGGATGCGATGCGAGAGAAGGATGGGTTGGGAAGTGAAGGGAAGGAGGATCATGTGGAGGGGAAGGATCAATGAATCCAATACATCGAAGCTCAGTGGACAGAAAATCAATGAACTAAATGAGCTGCAAGATTCTATGCTGCAAGCAAGTACACAAAATCCCCTGCCCTCGTTCTTTCACCCCACACACAACACAACCCCTTCCCATCCCTCGTGCTCTCACACCCACCCCCACATGCGACCTCTATTGCAACCCATGCGTATCTTTGCTTACCCTTTTCTCTCTCACCTGCCTCTGGGACCAGCATGTCTGGATCCGGGGGGCAGATGCAGCAGCGGACACACCACCACCTGATAAGGTGTGATGTGCCATGCCATGCCACGCCATGCCATGCCACATGCCATGCCACACCACCCCACGCCATGCCGCCCCAAAGACACGGGAACAAAACAAAAGAGGTGGGTTGCGAGTGCAGTAGACAGGGTGTGGGAGAGGGGAGAGAAGACGCAGGAAAAGGGAGGAGATTTGCAATGTGCAATGCAGAGAGTAGAGCAGATCCATAGACGGTTGGTCAAGTGTGAGTGCAGCAATCTGCGTGCTTGCAATGCATTGCATGGCACCGCATGGCACTGCAATGCATAGGATGTCATCATTCCATGGCCAGCCATACAAGACAGATGCATGCACGCACGCACCTTGTAGGGCCATGTGTGTGGGTCAGGAGTAGCGCCATTGGCATGCAGCCACAGCAGCAGCTCCCCCACATCCACCTCCATGCCCCCCATGTCCATTTCACCCTCCCTGCCCTCAGTGCCTTCCCTTCCCTCCCTTCTCTCCCTTCCCTCCCTTCCCTCCCTTCCCTCTCTGCCCTCCCTGCCCTCCCTGCCCTCTCTGCCCTCCCTGCCCTCTCTGCCCTCCCTACCCTCCCTCCTCTCCCTCCTCTCCATGCGCTCACTGCCCTCCCTCCCCTCCATGCCCTCCCTGCCTACGCCAAGGCATCGGTTCGTGACGCCATGAGTATCATCATCAGCACGCACATCAGCACGCCCATTCCAATCTCGCTCCTCCCCCAACGCAGCCCTGCCCCCATGCGCTCTGCCTCTGCTGCTGCCACCCTGCCGTAAAACCCCGGCCTCGTGCCCCCCTCTCCGCCCCACAGCCCTGCCTCCTCCCTGTTCTCCCCTCGCACCTGCCTCCTTCTCCCGGTTGTCCTCCCTTCTCCCTCCCTCCTCCTCCTCTTCCTCTTCCTCCTCCTCTTTCTCTTCTTCTTCCTCCTCTTCCTCCTCCTCTTTCTCTTCTTCTTCCTCCTCTTCCTCATCCTCTTCCTCCTCCTCCTCCTCCTCCTCCTCCTCCTCCTCCTCCTCCTCCTCCTCCTCCTCCTCCTCCTCCTCCTCCTCCTCCTCCTCCTCCTCCTCCTCCTCCTCATATTCATACTCACACTCCCCCTCGTCATTCCCATGCATCACTGCCCATTCCTCACCATCATCCTCCTCTTCTTCCTTCCCCTCCCCCCCCTCCTCCACACACTCTCTCATTTCATCCCCCCCCGCTGGCTCCTCCCCCTCCTCCCTATCCTCCCCATTCCTCCCCTCCTCCACACGTTTCCCCCCTCCTTCCCACCCACTCTCCTCCCGCCCACGCACCTCACCACCCATCACCGCTCTGCACTCCTTCGCCTCCTCCCCATCATCACAAAGCGTCCCATCCGCCCTTGCCCGTCTCCACTTCTCTCCTTCTGCCTCGCTGCCACCGCCACTCGTAGCACCACGTGCAACGCAAGTCGCCATGCATACACGCAGCAAGCCACCACGAGCAGACCAGTTGGTTCTAAAGAACCACTCCAACGTCTCAGCGGCCAGCTTACGCTATCATATACGCGCGCAAACCACTCTCGGTTTCCATACCCACTCTCCTCCCGATCTTCCCCCGCCCATCCTCCTCACCTTCCCCCCCGCATCCCCTCTATCTGCGTGCAACGAGAGCTGGGAGAAGGTGGAACGGTCGTACCAATACTACTAGCCGACGTGGGGGGTTGCGGGGAGCACGAGCGCGCGCGGAAGCTGCTCGGGGACGCGGAGGACGGGCGGAAGGTGCGGAGTACGGGCGGAAGGCGCGGAGTACGGGCGGTAGGCGTGGGGGAGCACAGCGAAACGGCACTAGATGAAGTAGCAGTGCGGAAACTTGGCGTGCCCTGGGGGAATGAGTATCGTGCGGCTCGGGGCGAGGAGCGGGGCTAGGGGAAAGAGAAGTGAGCCGATTCGCGGGCAAGCGGGCGAGGCGGCGGAGAGGCGCCAGGAGCGGTGGCGTATGCAGGGGAAAGGCGATTCGGCACGAGTCTTAGTGCAAATGTGCTACACTCCTCCCGCTAGCTACCCATCCCCCACTGGCACCGCACATTCGCAATCAGGCTGCGGAGGTAGCACGTTGGCATTGCGCGCAAGTCGTGCGCGTGCACAGAATCAACCGCGAATCCGGATTTTATGAATTTTCGGAGACCACTGATCACCTCCGCTTTCTGTTGGCATTCTGCCGCACAATTTTAACCGAGGGTTGATTTTGTGTGTAGTTCCTGACCGCAATCAAACAAGTACCGAAGAAAACTTTATCGAACTCCCGTCCAATAAATGATCCCTCTTGAACGCATCAAACCGAACTAAATCACACTGGGTTCTTGTTTTGCCATTGTCGGACCAGAAGAAAACTGGGAGATTATACCGGTAGTCAATAATTACATGCTGAATTAGTGAATTATATACCTACATGCGCATGATCGTATCACCCCGGATATAAGCGCACCTGCACTTATAATAAAACAGTGTTTTTTAGGGGGGTGCACTTATAATTGAGTAAAAAATATACGCGCATGCGCTTATAAAATGACAAATACAGATACCGGTATATAATTTAAAGGCACCAAATTGTACATCTCATCCCTTCAATTTCAATAAAATCGAAATTGTCAAGTGTCACGGACCAGGCCCTCAGATTCACTTTAAGGGTCGTATACCCATCAGTGTCCCCTTGTGTGTAAACACTGATTGACAGTGTTACCAAGAAAAAAAGGCTGAAATGACAGTGTTGTCCTAATTTAGAGTCTGATCCATCAGGGTTTCAAAATTAAAAAAGCTGTAGCTATTAAACGTCCTGGTTTTAAGCACAGGAAGACAGTAGCTTCCTTCCTACCTAGAACAGACTAGCTGCTCTTATCTAATAGGGGTCATGCGTCCTTCAGCATCGGAATCAAAGTCTTCATCATCACTCCCCTGCACCTTGGGTTCTTCCCACTCCTCAAGTGCCTCCTTTCCCCTGCCACTTCCCTCCCCCTCTCTTGCTGCAGGTGTTGCTGCTGCTGCTGCTGCTGCTGCCACATTTCCAAATGGCCGGCGCTTCTTGTAGCTGCGCCAGATGTTCACCAGTTCGTTGTAGTCGGGCTCGTAGTCGAGGAGCGACATTGTGACGAGATCTTCAAGCCGTGCGTCTTTGAGGCTCGCACGCTGCCATGACTTGATGATATTCTGGCGGGAAAACCCGCGCTCACATTCCACTGTGCTCAGCGGAAGCACTGCGACTGCCACCCAGAGATGCACGAGGTTGGGGTAGCTAGTCGTCCAGTCACTTGTCTTCAGCATCGCTGTTAGACCGGCGTGGAAGCTTCGCTCGTTCTTCGGGGCACCTTCGAGGATGGGGCAGAAGGCACGCAGTTCTTTGATCGCCCGCCGTTTGTCGATCCCTGCCACACAACACAGAAGGGGGGTTGTCAGTTAGCTTGGATGGCGTGGCATGGTATACCCGAGTACAGAAAGCACTGCTGAACCATATTATCAAAGAGACATAATGGACAACACGGGTTTAGAGTAAGCGTGTACCTGGAAGGATGTGATCACTCTCCTGTGCCCTGAACAGCGAGACGAGTGACATGAGCCACTCGAGACACTGTTTGTGGCGCTCCGTTCTCCCCGCCGTGCTGTACTCGTCTGGCATGAAGAGCCTCACTCCCACAAGGGAGTCCAAGTCTGCAAACCTGTTGCTGAGGTTTTTGACGAGCGTCTCGGCAAAAGTGGTGCAGAGGTCGACGCAGTTGTCGTGTGTTCCAAGTGTTGGGTAGTCCTCGCTTGGCTTCTCATGCAGATGGAACTTGTGTGTTGTCGGGCGACCGTCAGAGTCCACACCCTGCACCGTCACCTCGGGCTTGTCACTGTCAGGCCCGTACTTCTTGATGAACGGGGACAGGCGCGCGCTCAACCCGCCTCCAAAATCGTCACCGCAGTCGACGTAGCGGGTCTCCAGGTGAGACAAGGTTCTCCTGATCTGTGCATGGACACCTGCGATGTCGAGCTATGAGAGGGGGACAGAGTATGCACAGAGCGACAAAAGGAAAGACAGCCAGATGGGTGATAGTTCAATCAATGCATGTTCTGCTTAAGCTGGAACAATGTCAACGCATTGACATAGACACACGGCACATTAAAGAGACGAATTGACACGAAAACTATAAGTAGAAATCAAGAGAGTTGCTGCAAAGTTTGAGAGGACTTGTGGCTCACCTCATGCTGCTGGAACGACTTGTTCAAGATGTTCAGCTGCTCGAGCACGTCTGCAAGGAAGAACAGCAAGAAATGGAACCTGTAGCTGGTGGCGAGCTCGTACAGAGTCTCGTCCCACTCGTACAGCATGACGAGTAGCGCTGGGAAGACCGTCACCGTTCGCAAAACGGCATCACCCCTGCTCAGCCAGCGGACTTGATGGATGCCTTGAAGCTCCAGGTTCGTAGCAGTGAAGAGTTCCTGGAGCTCCAGAAATCGTTGGTGCCAGGGGCTGGAACGGCCGAGATACTCGGCCACTTGACGGATCAGCCCGTCCACCATGTCAAACTCGGGGATTGCCTCCGCTGCATCTTTTGCCGCGAGGGCCTCCCTGCAGGCACAACACAAGACAAACATGCCACGGTGGGGTTTAGGGTAAGCATGAACGAGATTTGGAAAGGCAAGGGTGCCGCGGGTACTTATGTGGAAAGTACCTGTGAGCAACGCAGTGGCTTGAGACGAGATGCGGTATGCGGATGCGCAGACGAGCGACAAGACCATTCTTGTGTCCCATCATCACACTCGCGCCATCGGTGCTCATTCCAGCGATCTTGCCAAGCTCGATGCCGAGGGCCTGCAGGTGGGACAGAAACACTGCGAGGAGAGAGGCGGCGTCGCACTTCTCCACGGTCAGCAACGCAAGGAATTCAGTGACGACGCGATTCTCACGGATGAACGTCGCGAAAATGATCAAGTGCTTTCCCCTGCACCTGTCCGTGCTCTCGTCACAGGTAACACCGATGAAAGGGCTTGTAAGGAGGTGCTGGAGTTGAGTTGTGTGCAACCACGTGGCAATCGCTTGTGTTAGCTGCCCAAATCCGTACCTGCGCGCAAGGTTAGTCAATGTTAGACATTACAAAATAGAGAATATAAGAGCAACAACACAAGCACAAGGTAACACCTAGTACCTTACGTTGTGTAGTAGGTTCCGTAACCTTTCGCAGGGAATCCCGGAACCTTCTTCGCGGCGAGATACCGAACAAGTTGCACCCATAACTCAATGGGTGCATCTTGCTTGGTAACGAAGAGCAGGGAGTCGCACAGCTCGATGACACGCTCCCTCTCGGTGTCGCGAGCGAGGTTGTCAGCGTTGATCCGTGGCTGCCGGCCAGCTTCAGCAAGAAGCTTCTCCTGGTGCTTGACCGCCTGCTTGTGCTTCGTGGTAGCTGCGTGTCGCTTGAAAGCTTGAGTTTGAACGTCCGAGGCACCCCTTCCACCCCTCCCGCACTTTCCTGCGTAACCTGCATGCTCGGTACAGATAGAGCATTTGAATGCTGGGAGACCATCACTTTGCCGCAAGAGGATGAGCCATGAAAACCTGTCTAGCCACTCGGTTTTGTACTTATACAGAGACTCGGCGTAAATCGAATCACGGGAAAATTGCTTAGAGGGACCAGGAACCGAAGGCGCCTCCTGCGGGCCGACAATCACGGGCGACGATCGTTGGTCGGCTGGCGGAGGCGTGGTTGCACCGTCGTCAACACCCTTTGTCAACCAGGGTATCGTTGACTGCAGATAGCGGCCTGATTTTTTGCTAACGGCTTCGGGAGTCGGTTTTCCAGCTGGAGGCGGCGAGCTGTCCTGCTCCGTGACTGGCGCTGTCGGGGATGCACACCAGTCCTCCGGATCGATGTGCTCAAACGGGATTTTGTCGGGCGGATCTTGTTCTCGTGGCTTCTCGGTGTGGGCTACTTCCGCTATGCTAGAAAATAATAAATCAAGGCCGGTAACTGCATCAGAACGGACTACTTGCGGCTGGCGGTGCGAATCATCACCCTGTTCGCCGCTTGTTTCCGTGCCGTCAGGCGGTTCTAACATGGTAAGCAGCGGGGACGCCCTCCCCTCTAAGCTAGTAACGCGTGCAGAGCAGATGCGGGGGA